AAAATTCTTGGTTAAGAGACTTCTTTATTTAGGGTAGTACATAGTAGGTAGTGGCTTGTCATTATGTCTGCTACAACAGCTAGAGAAAAACTAGATACGTTGAAATATTTATTTTTAAAAAAATCTGAATTGTAAAGAGGACTGGGTGAGCTAAAATTCCTGGCACAGAGAAGACTTTCCTAGGATTGTTGAGTTTGTTAGTAATTTTCTTCCCTAAGAACATTTGCCAAATCTGGGTAAAAGCTGAGATTCAGTCTTGGGGAGGAGCTTCATTAAGGAATGAGAAACCATGTGGCCGTGTGAACTGGCATAAAGGCATGGCAACACACAGTTTCTTGAGAGCATAGAAGCCCGGATGTTTGGTTGAAAACACAGAGTGAAACCTCCCAGTCCTGCAGAGTTTAGGAGTCAGCATTCTCCTGGAGGAGGAACCTGGGACAAACCTTTTTCATTTTCACCCTGAGACATTTTCCTGGGCAAAATCCATCCAAACTGCAACCCAGTCCTCAGGGATGCAGCTTAAGTGCTAAATGGTTGAGGATATTAGTCCTGTATGATATTTCCACAACTGAAGAAAGTGTGAACCTCTCTGAAAACGGTATTCCACACTTCAGCTCCATGCTTCTTTTATGTAGGCTCTGGCATCCAGCAAAAATTAAGGAGATTGAGAAGAGGCAGAGCAACCTGACTGAGGGTAAAGAGCAAAGAAATGACACCAGAGAGATGACCCAGATGCCAGAGTTCGAATGAGAGAGGTTGAAATGCAGACTGGACACAGCAGGAGACAAAACTGGCAAACCCTAGACAGGCCACCAGAAAATATCGATTCAGCTTCAGAGAGGAAGAAATGAAAAAGACAATCCAGAGCAGAGGGGTATGTGAAGCACAGACGGGTTAACTGTATGCGTAATTGGGGTGCAAAAAAGGTGAGGGATAGGAGAATGCAGCAGAAGCAGTCTCTGAAGAGATAATGGCTGGGAGCTTTTCAAAATCAATGTGCTGGGAGCTTTTCAAAATCAATGTCAGATTCTAACACAGTGCTTTAAAAGTCTCCAGAAACTTAAGAGTAAATGCAAAGAAAATCGCATTAGATGCAATAAAGGCAAACTTCTAAGAAAGAAAAAGAGAGAATCTTTAAAAAGCAACTTGAGAGAATGAAAGTATCGTTTCAGAGAAATAGTTAAAAAAAAATTTTGGCTAACTTCTCAATGGGAATTATGAAACCCCAAAGACGATGGAATCGCCCTTTTAAAGTTCTGGTGGGGAAACCTCCAGCCTACACTTCTGTCCCAGCCAAATTATCTTTCAAAAGTGAAGGCCAGCTATAGCCGAGAAAACTCTTTAGCAGCAGAACAAGATTACCAAAAATATTAAAGAACGTTTTTCAGGCGGAAATAAAACAATCTTGGAAGAAGTTGCAGAACTGCAGAAAGGAAGGAGGGACACCAGAAAGAGGAACACTAAAGGCAAATGCCAAAGAATGCAGACTGCTTAAAGGAGGAACAGTAACACGGCTTGTGGGGTTTTACCATCCATGTAGAAGTAAGACCCAAGGCGACAGCCCGACAGGAAAAAAGGGGGTCAGTGGAGTCAGACAGCCCCAGGTTCATACATTGTCCAGGAAACAGTAAACATACAAATGCAAGGCAGATCGTAAGGAGTCAAAGACGCAGACTGCAATATCTAGCATAAGCAGAAAAGGAACAACACAGAAACGTGTAGTCAGAAAGGAAGCGCAGGAGATACGATGAAATAATTGAGAACAGTTGGCAACCCGAAAGACGGGGGAAGGAGTGACAGGAAGACAGAGCAATCAGGAGACAGGGAAACTGTGCAAGGCGGCAACTCCCACCCGGTCACTTCCACAGGAGCCTGGTGCAAATGCAGCAACTACTCCAACAAGAAGGGTTGTAAGACTGGGCGAAAAGCAAGGTCAGCCATGAATGCCGCCTTTTTTTTTTTTTGAGTTGGAGTCTCACTCTGTCGCCCAGACTGGAGTGCAGTGGCCGCTCCCAGCCACCGCAGCCCTGACCTGCTGGGCTCCGGCGATCCTTCCGCCTCAGCCTTCCAAGTAGCTGGAACTACAGGCGCGTGCTACCATGCCCAGCTAATTTTTTTGATTTATTGTAGAGATGAGGTCTCGCCAAGTTGCCCAGGCAGGTCTTGAACCCACAGGCTCAGGCAATTCACTCACCTCAGCCTCCCAAAGCGTGGGATTACAGGCTGAGCCACCGAGCCCGGCTGTATGCACCTTTTATATGAGACCCGGGCTCAGTATAAAGGGTGAAGGCATAGACTGGAAGTAAAAGGTTGGACAAGATGCACACCTGGCACATGCTCATATAAAGCCGGTGTGGAAGCACACGTCTCAGAAAAGGTGGGATGTCAGGGAAGAAGTATTCGTGGCAATAAGGACAGAAGGGCCTGGAAGAAGGAAGACAGGCCACCCTGAACAGGATGTACTCAACACCATTGACTCAAAATGCAGAAAGCAAACAGCCTCAGAGGAGGGAAATGGAGACTCCTCAAACTGCTGGAGATTTAACTCACTCCTCTGTGTAGCTTGGAGAGCAAGCAGGTGGAATAATCGGAAGGACACAGATCTGAGCCACATGGTCCCCTGATGTGGCCTGAATGATGTGTTGTGGAGACACCCACCCCAGCGGCTGCAGAATACTCCTTCCATTCAAGTGTGTGTGAGACATTCGCCAAAGCAGACTGTGTGTCGACAACATTGTCAACAACATTCATGCTCATTCTGTTTTAAAAATGATTTCATGTTCTTTATCCATGGTGAATATCTATATTTTAAAAAACTGGGCCGGGCTTGGTGGCTCAGCCTGTAATCCCAGCACTTTGGGAAGGATTGCCTGAGCCTGGGGGTTTGAGACCAGCCTGGGCAACTTGGTGAGACCTCATCTCTACAATAAATCAAAAAGTTAGCCGGGCGTGGCAGCACATGCCTGTAGTTCCAACTACTTGTAGGCTGAGGTGGAAGGATCGCCAGAGCCCAGTAGGTCGATGCTAGGGTGGCTGTGAGCATACCACTGCATTCCAGCCTGGGTGACAGAGTGAGATTCCAACTGAAAAAAAAAAAAAAAAAATTGACCCTCACCTCTTACTTTACAGAAAAATCAACTTAAGAGCAATCATAAAAAGCTAAAAGTGAATGGGAAACCAGGACCGTGTCCCGAACACATCACAGGAGAACATCTTTGTGATGTTCGACAGGCAAAGACTTCTCAAACTGGCTCTGCCATACTAACATAGCATAAGAGTGTTGATTCCCTGAACTTCGTCACAAAGCACCATAACAGGCAAGAAGCCATACCTAACACACATGTCAAAAAAGGCTCCATGAAGATACGTAGAGATGCTTAGAAACTGACTTAAAAAGCAACGGCCACCCTGACTTTTTTTTTTGACTTATGGTAGAGATGAGGTCTCGCTGCCCAGGCGGGTCTCGAACCCACGGACTCAGGCAATCCACTCACTTCAGCCTCCCAAAGGCGTGGGATTACAGGCTGGGCCACTGAGCCGGCTTACCCTGACTTTTAAACAAGCAACAGATGTGACCCAGTGCCCCAGGAGATGAGATAAGCACAGGCCCAGCTGGCACTAGTGTCAGAGAACGGCACAGTGAGGCCGTGGGGGTGGAGGCAGAGGCCGACGGCGCCGCCGCGGGCCAGGATGAGAGGCAGAAGAGCCCGGGCCTGCTGGGCCAGTCCGAGGAGCCACTTGGGAAACAGCCCGACCTGGAGGCACTCGAGGCGCACCACCTTGAGGGGCGCTCTGTGGCGTTGGAATAGGACACAGCCCAGTGATGGGAGGAACGGGCCGCCACAAGGGCCGCCGTGGCCAGCGCGCACAGAGTTTATGTCGGCGGGCAGGGAATGAGATCCCTCAAGCCTGCAACTCGAGAACAGACAGCACTGCCCAGGTGTGGCAGGCGTGGAACAGGTGTGACCTCTGTGGGTCTGGCCGAGGCGGGGAGGCGAGGAGAGGGCCCGGGGACTGTGATGTGGTCCATCTCAACCTGGTTGCGGCTACCCAGGACACACGAATCTGCCTGTGCAGAGGCGATTATAACCCAGGAGGACACTCCAGCAAACACCATCCATCTCTGCTGATGTGATGGCGACACAGGACACACCAGCAAATGCCATCCACTGTGTGGATGCCATTGTAAGCGGTGCGCCCTTAGCAGTACGCATGCAATGCCTCAACCCAAAGAAAAAACCCTTGATTAACTCAGGAGAGAAGAAACAAAATCTACCCTGGTGGAGCGTGGGGCTCAGCAGACCCTGTGGATGTGGCCCTGGCTTCCCTGATGGGCTCCCTGGCGACAGTGGCTCAGGCTGCAGGGTGTCAGGCCCCTCTGCCCAGCCCCCCGCCGTGGTGACCTTCGTCAAGGATGTGCCGGGCCCCCCCGCCCAGGAAGAACATGGCCTCAGCAGGCGAGGAGAGCCGGGGTCACCTTGGACCCAGAGCAGCGAGGGGCGAGAGTTGACAGTCGGGAAGCCTGGCCCACACAGCACCTCTGCTGGCCACTCGCTGACAGCCAGGGGTGAGCCCGGTGGCCCAGTCACGAAATGGACAAACTCCTGCCCGTGTCGGGCTGGGCAGGCCAACTGAGGCCAGAGACACAAGAGGGAATTGGACGGTGCGTAGGGCAATGTTAACCCCCAAGGGTGCCTCAAAGGGCACTTTATGTCGACAACCAACAGGGTCTGGCGGGACAGGCAACTGGGGACTTAGTACCCCAACATCCAGACAGGGCACCAATACCCAGACAGGTAGCCCATCATTCAGATGGGCACCCAAACATCCTGGCAGGCACCCGAATATCCAGACATGCAGGGGCACCCCAACATCCAGGTGGGCACCCCAACACCCAGACAGGCATCTCCACACCCGGAGACTGTGCTGCCTGGAGCTCCAGGCCCCTCCCCATCCATGCTGGTGCGACGTTGGCTGTGGCTGCCACGGAGGTGTCTTACTGCACGAGTGTGTAGTACTGCTGGGTCAGGTCACTCCACTCGGCCTCCGTGAGGTCCCCCTCGGCATCCTCCCCCATGTCGATGTCCTCATGCTCCAGCCGCCCCAGGTAGGCCTGGCACACCCTGCACGCGGTGTCCACCAGCTGCCCCGGGAGGCCTCGGAGCTCGGCCTCAGCGTCCTCTGGATCTGAAACCCAAGCACAGGCATGGGCATGGGAGCCAGCACGGGGCTGCCCACCCACCCATGGAGCAGCGTGGACGTCGTGGACGGGGCTATCCCACCCCCCTTCCCCACGGCACCACAAGGCTCCTGGCAGCACGCCGGGGTCATGCCTGCGCCAGGTGGGCCGGCAACCCCTCCCTCTGGCGCCGTCCGCCCTCTACGCCCGGTGTGCCCCACGTCGCCCACTGCCCAGCCCCTGCCACCAGACCCGCGCTCCTCCCAGCAGCGAGGAGAGGGGGCCTCTCACTGGCGCTCACAAAACCCCGCTTTTCTGAGCACATTCCAGGGAGTCCATAATGCTCCTGAGAAGCAGTTACCATGCCACCACCTGGCAAGTGCTTCTGAGCATGGGCTCCCCGCTCCCACAGGGCTCCTCACACACCCCCACAGCTGGGTCGTGGCTCTGTGCGTCTGGCCCCTGACACGGGATTCCCCCTCCTGGAGCCCACGACTCCGGGCCACTGTGAGTCCTGGGAAGCACGAGGGAAGGCGAGCCCAAAGTGGCCTCAGGCACCGGGCCAACAGCTGAGAACCGCAGACACCCGCCTAGGCTGAACGGAAGCAAGCCCAAGGGCGTCTGGGGCTGCCTGGAAGATGCACAGGGCGGCGCCATATGCTCGGGGGATGGGTGCTGTGCAGGCTGAGGAGCAGCAAGGGGTGGCCACAAGGAGAGGGCCCAGCGAGGTGGTGCCGCAAGGCAGAGCACTCAGGTCTCTGCGGGACATGACAGTTACAGGCATTCAAACACAAGATTAACCATTTCGCAGTACACAACTGCACTTCTCATTTCTGGTCCAAACTGTGAGGAACTTAGACATCACCGCAATCAGAACAAACCCAAGAATCAATTCTCAGAGCCATCAGAGAAGTGAGGTCAAAGGCTAACCACTGCCCCCAAATTGGAGAGACCGATGGGCAGGTACAGAGAATCACAACTCACCCAAGAGAAACCCATGGGGCCAGTGCTGGGGAAGGCCTGAGCCGTCACTGGTTACTGGCTGGAGGCAAGTTCACAGGGAATGTCTACCAGACAGACCACATTCTGGGCCGTAAAACACCCGTTGGCAAATTTAAAATAACTTGAATCATATAATATATGCTCTCAGATCAAAGTAGAACTTAACTCGGTATCAGTAAGAGAAAGATTGCTAGAAAATCTCAAAGTACTTGGAAACTAAACAATACACTTTATTTTATTTTATTTTTTTGAGTTGGAATCTCATTCTGTTGCTCAGGCTGGAGTGCAGTGGCATACACGCTCACGCCACCCCAGTGTTGACCTGCTGGGCTCCAGCGATCCTTCCACCTCAGCCTTCCGAGTAGCTGGAACTACAGATACGCACTCCCATGCCCAGCTATTTTTTATTTTATTGTACAGATGAGGTCTCGCCAAGTTGTCTGGGCTGGTATTGAACCTGAGGGCTCAGATAATCCTCTCACCTCGGCCTCCCAAAGTGCTGGGATTATAGGCATGAGTCACTGCGCCCAGCTAGCAATACACTTTATAATAAACACATGAGTCAAAGAAAAGTTTCAAGAGCAACTAAAATAAAAAAATATTTTGAACTAAGTGAAAATGAAAACATAACATCAAAATGCGTGAGATGCAGCAAAAGCAGTACTTTGAGGGAAATTTATAGCTTTGGATGCACATATTATAAAAGAAAAAGATCTAAAACCAATGGTCTGAGCTTCTACCTGGGCAAAATAGAAAAAGAAGAGCAAATTAAATCCAAAATAATAAGAAGAAATGATACAAATTAGGGCAGAAATCAATGAATCTGAAAACAGGAAATCAACAGAGGAAAATCAATGAAGCAAACATCTCGTTCTCTGAAAAGAGCAATAAAATCAATAAGCTTCTAGCCAGGTTCACTAAGATAAAGAGAAGACACATATTACTAATATCAGGAAAAAAAGAAGAGGACATCGCTACAGATCCCATGGGCAAAAAAGGACAACAAGGAATATAACAAACGACTCTCTACACACACATTTGATAACTGAGATGAAATAGACCAATTCTTTGAAAGACACAGGATGCTAAAATTTACATAAAAATAGGCAATCCGAATAGGCCTATATCTTGCAAAAAATGCATCAGTAATTAATAACCTACACCAGAAGATGTCCCAGATGGATTCACTGGCTAATTTGACCAAACATTTAAGAAAAAAAGGCTGGGCTCAGTGGCTCAGCCTGTCATCCCAGCACTTTGGAAGGCCAAGGCAAGTGGATTACCTGAGCCCATGGGTTTGAGACCAGCCTGGGCAACTTGGCGAGACCTCGCCTCTACAATAAATCAAAGAATTAGCTGGGCATGGTGATGCATGCCTGTAGTTCCAGCTACTTGGAAGGCTGAGGCCGAAGGGTCACCAGGGCCCAGTGGGTTGACGTGAGGTGGCCATGAGCGTGCCCTGTACTCCAGCCTGGGCAACAGAGAGAGACTCCGACTCAAAAGTTAAAAAGGAAGAAAGAAATCATCCCAAATGTCTGCAGTCTTTTCCAGAAGGTGGAAGCAGAGGGACCGTTTCTTAACTCCTGTGAAGCCACATCAACTCAACACCAAAACCAAAGACATGATAAGAAAGCTAATAGCCCTCACAAACGTAGATGCCAAAACCCTCAATACATCATCAAATGAGCCCCGTGATGTAGGACGTCCACGACACACAACCAAGTGGAATCGACTGCAGGCATGGCACGCTGGCCCACATTTGAGATCGAGTCACCTCACGGCCGTGGTCTGGCTCATACGAATGCTGCCTCGGCATCTGCCTTGCCACTCTCGACCTGCACGGCTTGAGGCTGTCTCCGCCCATTCCTGCTTTGGGGTTCCAGATGGAAGAGGCCCCCAGCCAAACTGCCCGACCTGACCCCGGACTTCTGCTTTAAGTCGGGGAACCCAATGACGTAACGCCCGAGTTCCCACATTTAGCCTCGCTTTCCCTCCAAATTAACCAGTCCCGCCTCATCTCGGGAAACTCACCAGCGTAACGCTATGGACCCCAGTCAAGCTTCAGCCCACAGCGCCTGCCTCTCTGTTGCTCCCACCTCACCTGCTGGTTGGGCTCACATGTCCCGGACAGCCAGCCCCCTTCCTGCTGGTCCTCTTCTCTCTGGATCTGCAAGTCACACCCTCAATCTTTTCTCCACCCCAGTCTGAATGTCCCTCATTGTGCCTCACCTGACTACACGGAGTGTAACTTACATATCTCATCACACATCTCGCTTCACAAACCACAACGGCAATCCGTCACGCCCACAGCCTAAAGAGTCACGCGGTCATATCAACAGACGCAGGAAAAGCATTGGGCAGAATCCAATGCTCATTCACGATATGAGCCCTCAGCAAACTAGGAGTAGAGAAAAACTGCCTTAACTTGGTGGAGAACACCTACGAGAGACCCACAGGCAGCATCACACTTGGTGAAGGCACCAGCAGCTTGCCTGCTGGAATCAGGAGCAGGGCAAATGTTCCCACTCACTGCTGCCTTTCAGCCTTGTGCCAGAAGGCCTCGCTGACGGAACAAGGCAAGAAAAGCAAATGAAAGCTGTGTGGGTTGGGAAGGAAGATAAAACTGTCTTTGTTCACAGGTTTCTACATAGACATGGTTGCCTATGTAGAAAATGTTAAAAAATCAACCCTCAAACTTCTGGAACAAATAAATGGCCATAGTCAGTTGCTTTCCTATATTGCAGCAAGGAAAGGCTGGAGTTTGAAATTAAAAACAGAATGCCATTTCCATTTGCATACCCCCACATGAAATGCCCCCAAATAAATCTAGCAAAATGTGTCCGAGATCTATACTTGGAGAACTACAAAACGGATGAAAGATATAAAAGAAGAACTGATTAAACGAAGAGGTATTTCACATACATGAACAGGAGAGACTCGATATTATTAAGATATCAGTTCTTCCCAGCTTGTCTATGCACACCCCTAGTCAAAATCCCAGCAAGTTATTCTTTGGATGACTGATTCTAAAGTCAAACAGAAAGGCAGAAGACCAGAACAGTCAACTTGGTCACGGAGAAGCACAATGTCCAAGGAGACACTGCCTGTCGGAGGTCGAGACTTACTCTACTCAGTGATGTGGTATTACTGAAAGAACAGACACACAGATTCATGGAACAGAACAGAGTCCAAAATCGACCCACTGGCTGGGCACCGCGGCTCATGCCTGTGGTCTTAGAATTTTGCAAGGCCAAGGAGGGAAGATCACCTGAGCCCAGGAGTTTGAGAACGCCTGGAAAATACAGCAAGGCCTTGTCTCTACAAAGCTACAAATTAAAAAAATCAGCCAGGTGTGGTGGCATTTGACCACGGTCTCAGCTACTCGGGAGGCTGAGCACGGGGACACACACACACACACACACGACTGCCTGAGCCCTGGAGTCTGAGGCTGCCGCTGCATTCCAGCCTGGACGACAGAGTGAGACCCCAACTCAAAAGGAATTGACCCACACAAGCATAACTGACCTTTGACGAAACAACCGATCATTGGCAAAGGAACAAGAGGAATACAATGGAGAAGAGATAGTCTCTTCAGCAAATGGTGCTAGGACAACTAGACACCCACGTGCAAAAAATCAAATCTAGACAAAGATCTTACGCTCTTCACAAAAAGTGACTCAAAATGTAAAAGGGAAAACGACAAGACAGCTAGAAGAAAACAGACGAGAAAAGCTAGAGGACTCTGGGTCTGGCATTGACTTTTTAGGCACAAAACCAAAGGCACGATCCAGAAAGAATCAGTTGGCCTCCATCATAATTAAAAACTTCTCTTGGCCGGGCTCGGTGGCTCAGCCTATAATCCCTGCGCTTTGGGAGGCCCAGGTGAGTGGATTGCCTGAGCCTGCGGGTTCGAGACCCACCTGGGCAACTTGGCGAGACCTCATCTCTACAATAGATCAAAAATCAGCCGGGCGTGGTAGCATGTGTCTGTAATTCCGGCTACTCAGAAGGCTGAGGCAGAAGGATCGCCGGAGCCCAGCGGGTCGTGGCTGCGGTGGCCGGGAGCGGCCACTGCACTCCAGTCTGGGCGACCAAGTGAGACTCTAACTAAAAAAAAAAAAAACCAAAAAAACCAAAAACTTCTCTCGGCCAGGCATGGTGGCTCAGCTTGTCATCCCAGCCGTTTGGGAGGCTGAGGTGAGTGGATTACCTGAGCCTGAGGGTTTGAGACCTGCCCGGGCAACTTGGCAAGACCTCGTCTCCACAATAAATCAAAAATTAGCCGGGCGTGGTAGCGTGCGCCTGTAGTTCCAGCTACTTGGAAGGGTGAGGTGGAAGGATTGCTGGAGCCCAGCGGATCAGCACTGGGGTGGCCATGAGTGTGCCACTGTGCTCCAGCCTGGGCGATGGAGTGAGACTCCAACCCAAAAAAAACCCCAAACAAACAAAAACTTCTCTCTGCAAAGACACTGTCAAGAGAATGCGGAGACAAGCCTTGGACTGGGAGGAGACACCTGCACACATTTAATAAAGAAATGCTATGCCGAGGGCATAAGGAACACCAGAACCTCAGCTGCAAGAAAGAAACTCTGCTTGAGTGGGCAGAGGTTCTCCCAGCCACCTCAGTAAAGACGTGTGGATGGAGAGTAGCACAGGAAAGACCCCCGCACCAGGAGTCACTGTGGCGCTGCAACTTACAGCCACAAGGCGCCACTGCAGACTGTGAGGACCCTGACGGCCCCACGGCTGGCGAGGAGTAGAGCAGCGGGAACTCCCACTTGGCACCGCGGTGGCAGGTGTGCCTTCACTTGGAAGATGGTTTGGCGGCTCCTTCTGAAAGGAAACGCCTCCTGCCACAGCGTCCAATGAGGGTACCCCTGGGCATTTTCCCAAACGAGCTGAAGACGCGGTCCCCCAAAAACCTGACCACGGAGGGCTCCGGCAGCTCTCTTCACAACTGTCAGAAGATGGAACACTCGAGGCATCCTTCAGGAGGTGAGTGCCTCAGCCCACGTGGCACATGCAGACAGTGGGGGACCGGCCATCACTGAGAGACGTGAGCTGCCGGGCACAGTGGCTCACACCTGTCACCCCAGCACTTTGGGAGACCCAGGCAAGGGGACTGCCTGGGCCTGGGGGTTCGCGACCAGCCTGGGCAACTTGGCGAGACCTGGTCTTTACGATAAATCAAAAAATTAGCAGGCATGGTGGCGTGTGCCTGTAGTTCCGGCTCCTGGGAAGGCTGAGGTCAAAGGATCGCCTGAGCCCGGCAGATCGAGGCTGCGGGGCCATGAGCATGCCCCTGCACTCCATCCTGGGTGACAGAGGGAGATGCCACTCAGAAAAAGAAGAGAAGTGAGCTGCCAGGCCAAGAAAAGGCACGGAGGACCCTTAAGTGCCTGTTGCTAAGTGAACGAACCAGCCGAAAAGGGCCACATGTTGTGCACTTCTGATGACATGGCACTCGGCAGGCACCAACCCTGGAGGCAGCGAGGAGACTATGGTGGCTGAGGGCTGGGTGGGGCTGCCTGGGGGAACTGGGGCGGGTTGTGTGGCAGTGGCGCTCCTCTATGTGATGCCAGGACTATGGGCACCTCTGTCCACACCGACGGAGTGTGCAACACCGGAGGGAACCCTCCTGTGAACCGCGGACGAGGGTATCACAACCTGCCGCTGTGGGGGCCTTGTGGCATCAGCTCTCTGGGCTTCACACAAGCCAGCCCAAGCCCCGCTCAGAATTGAGAAGAAAAAGCAGCTGAGGCACAGCCTCTCGCAGGCAGCTGGCCGGCATGGGTCACGCGTCTTTGTTTCCCACCCAGAGGGTGCCACGAAGGCACCCCTCCGATGGTGACACATGCAGGTGTCAGCTTGGCGTCCTGTGTCCGCCAGAGCCCTCCCTGGCCTGGAGTCACCTGACCCATCAACCGCTGTCTGCCCAAATCGACTGCAAAATGATCATGCCAGCGTTCACCTTTTAACAACTGTAACAGAGAAATCATGGAGAGGGGGTGTCACTGGGCACTCTCGAACCCTACACTCAGCCATGCCGGAGCCTAAAGCTGCGTTAAAAGAACATTCAATCGAAGTGAACAGCAGCCTCAAAGACATATTTGGGCTTTGCAGGCCCAAGCCACAGTGGCTGTTTGTGCCTCTGTGCGGGCCAGGAGCGAGGCAGGCTCCTGACCACCAGCTGGAAGCCAAGCCCGGGTGTGGATGTCTCAGCACTGTGTAAACCAGAGGGGGAGAAACATCTAGCCCCACAGTTAAAACAGAAAATGGGTTTGCTGCCAGAATCATGGGACATGCCCCAGGTGTTGGTGCACACGGTCTTGGCTGCTCAGAACCTCAGAACTGACCACAGCCAGGAAAGCCAAGATGGTCTCAGGACTGAGGCCCGGGATGAAGGTCTCAGACGGAGGCCCCAGGATGGAGGTCCAGGATGGAGACTCAGGACAGAGGCCCAGGATGGAGGCCCCAGGATGGAGGCCCGGACACAACCCCAGGACAGAGCCCCGGGACGGAGGCCCAGGACAGAGACCCAGGACGGAGGCCCAGGAAGGAGCTCCAGGACAGAGACCCAGGACGGAGCCCCGGGACTGAGGCCCAGGACGGGAGCCCAGGACGGAGGCCCAGGAAGGAGCTCCAGGACAGAGACCCAGGACGGAGCCCCGGGACTGAGGCCCAGGACGGGAGCCCAGGACGGAGGCCCAGGATGGAGGCCCAGGACGGAGACCAGGGAGGAGGCCCAGGACAGAGGCCGAGGACGGAGCCTGCCCGCCCCTGGCCACACGCACCTTTCCCGCTGCCCGGGTCGCGGTCCCCTGCCTCGGCCCTGCTGCTCCGGGGCTTGCTCCTGCTGCGGTTCTGGCGGCCGACGACCCACTTGAGGATGCTGGCGGCCACGGTGAGCCGGAAGTCGCCTGGAAGGGCACTAGGCCTCGCAGGGCCG